CCCCCGGCTCCTTCCCGCAGCCCGAGCGTGACCGAGAGCGCTGCAGAAAAACAGGGGTGGCAAACGCTGAAGAGATGACTGTCTCCTCAAAGCTCTCTGAAACGGGACTGGTGTTGTCAGCCCCCCCGTTGGAGCAATGGCACAAGGAAGGTTGAACCTAAACTCGTTTTTAAATTCGTTACAGGTTCTGTAGAGGACTTGCACCACACCGTAACCCTGTGTGGGTACTTAATTTCCCTGCAGATTGGCGGCAGAGACAAGAATCACAGGATCATTTGGCCTGGAAGGGACCTTTAGAGGTCACCTAGTCCAACCCCCCTGCGGTGAGCAGGGACATCCCCAACTAGAGAAGGTTGCTCCGAGCCCCATCTAGCCTGACCTTGAATGCCTCCAGGGATGGGGCTTCCACCACCTCTCTGGGCAACCTCTTCCAGTGCTTCACCACCCTCATCGTAAAAATTTTTTTCCTTATGTCTAGTCTAAATCTACCCTCTTTTAGTTTAAAACCATTACCCCTTGTCCTGTCACAGCAGACCCTGCTAAAAAGTCTGTCCCCATCTCTCAGATAGGCGCCCTTCAGGTACTGGAAGGCCGCAATGAGGTCACCTCGAAGCCTCCTCTTCTCCAGGCTGAACAACCCCGACTCTCTCAGCCTGTCCTCACAGGAGAGGTGCTCCAGCCCTCCGATCGTTTTCGTTGCCCTCCTCTGGACCGTCTCCAACAGGTCCATGTCTCTCCTGTGCTGAGGTCTCCAGAGCTGAAACCCCTCCAGCACCTGCCCTGCCAGAGGGACAGGATGAGCCAGCAATGGATGCAGTGGTGACAGTCCTTGTCCCGGGATGGATGCAGGGTCCTCAGACCCAGCATCACTACTTTAGATGCAGCCAGTTTCAAGCTGTTTTGTAGGAGAAAACCCAGACTTTTGAGTTCTAGCCCCGCAGTCTTTATTAGGAGCAAAGTATAGATAACTGGTCAAGGCTAGAAAATGCTCCTTGAAAAGCCCAGAACAATTTAAGTTCCCTTTGCTACTCTTATAATTTGTGATGGAGAAGAATCAAATGAAAAAGCCATTAGCCCAGCACTGAAAATGAGCGTGGTCCCACTTTGCGTGGGTGAGAGGCTGCAGCCTCACCTCCTGCAATTATCAAAGCTACAAATGATAATTTACAGCTTCCACCACTGAGATCTCAATCCCCAGCTTTGACATTTATTAACAGACTTAAAATGTAGGCTTTACAAACGGGAAATTAGCTCATCGTGTGGCTCCGTACTCTCCACAACAGTCATGGCAAACTATCAAACCCTTTGTTACACAACCTCCCCTTCAGAGATGCAGCCTCAAACCGATGCATTTGGCTCAAATGTCCCACTCTTCGTACGAAATAGCTCCAAACACTGCCACTTTTCGTGTGATTCAACCCAAAGGTATTTAGTGGGGATGTATATGCTTGGAAAGCTCCTTTTTCCCTTCACTTTTGGTCCTTCAGTGTTTACAGGTCACGTGAGGTCCCGTAAATACAGGCTTGGCTCAAGACCTGCTGGCACAGGTTTTTTGGGTTTGTTTGGTTTGGTTTTTTTGTTTGGTTGGGGTTTTTTTTGTTTGTTTGTTTTGGTTTTTGGTTGGGTTTTTTGTTTGTTTTGTTTTGTTTTTTTAATATACACACAGTCTGTGCTTATTTTGTCTGTGTGTTCTTTTTTATATCCTTGTTTATCTGAAACAGCCAGCCCTGGGGAACAAGTGTTCCTGACCTTCTACTTTGCCATCGCATCTCTTCCTACTTCTTTCAGTTCCACGAGGAAAATCAGCTGCTTGCTATACCGACTTATGCACTTGCATTCCATCCCCACTTCAGGGGTTTAAGGCATTTTATAAATAAAAGTAGTCTAAGCTTCCTCATCCCTAGGGTGAATTATCCCTCATTTTCCTGACAGATAGCAAAGCAAGAGGCATAGAGGAATAGGGAGTGTGCGCAGTGTCATGTAGCAAGTCAGAAAGAGCATGTAGGAGAATTCTTTGCAAGTGCTGCAACTCTAAAAAAGGTTCTTTATTCATTTGAAAAATGCACAAACCTACCTGAGATTGTCATCTGAGATACTTTGGCAGACCTTAGAGGGAAGCCACTGCTATTTGGGGCATGGAGTCACTATGGCCAGAACCACTTTATTTGCAGCATATTTAAAAAGCAGGGAAAATACTTTTAAAAAGAGCCCCTTATGGAGAAGGCTGCTGGCTGGAGACTTTTCTTCCAAAAGAAAAACACGTTCCTGCGGTTTACCTCCAGGCTAGCTCTTATCAGGGTCTTCACCTATCACCATGCTGCTTCTCCCGGCTGCAGTCAGATCTGAAATACTCTGTAGATGGAAAAGAGCTTAGAGGAATCTCTGGCTGGTCTCACAGCCAAACATCTGCTCACCCAAACAGCATTCCAGGCGTGCGTTACACCTCCCAGCTTCACAGCAACACACAGGGACAGCAGGGAAGAACGGGGAAACTATTTCTCAGGCATTTGCATTTGGTTTTAATAGTCAGGGAGCGTTTTGGATGCATGGGTGGCATCCACACTTTCGCCCCAGGAAAAAGAGGCAGCTTGGGCTCCATGCTGACATCTTCTGGGAGGCAAACACTGCTGGGAAAATGAGGCTTTTCTCTTCTCTTGGACTCTGTTAACATCCCACTTGTCTTAAACTGAAGTTAGCAGCTAGGGCATACAGTATAGAGGAAAGACTTGCAGCAGGGTTACGGAAGAAGTAATATGCAACATATAAGGTGCCTCTCCTCCCTGCTAGTCTTCCCTCTGCTTTTCAGCATCACAACACAGAAGCTAAAATATACGTTTTAAGGCACGTTTCCCCTGCGTCGGCTTCCCCGACTTCCAGCAGTCTTGAAATTGCAGTCCCTTAGGGCCCCAGAGAGTTCTGCTCCCCCAGCGAGTTGTATTTAGTCTTTGACTGGTTCCCCAAGCGGGCAACCGACTGCTGCTTTTGCCGACTGCTGGCACCATCAGCAGGCCCTGCAAGTGAGGGAAGATGAAGTACTTGCTCAAGTTTCTCACACTTGGACTTGAGTCTCATTGCCAGTCAGAATGGGGAAAAGAGAGATTGGCACGGGCTGTGGAGGGGCGAGTTTGGCAAAGGCACTAGGGTCTGCACATCGTTGCCTGAAGAAAATCCCAAGGTGACACTTTCAGTGGAAGCAGTGTGTTGTCACATAGCTAACTCAGATTAAACTTTGTACTTCATATATGGATTAGACTAGGATTATGAACACTTCTGAAAAATGTTATTTTCTCTTCCTAAGAGGTTATTTTTGGCTAAGAGGGAGATGGAATGTAACTCATTCTGGAACATTGCCCATATCATCTATTTTAAAAAAAAAAGCTTAAAACTTGGCTGTAAAACTCATACCCACGTGACTGCTTTCCCAACTGGACGGTTTATGTTGCATTTACAGCTCTTTAGGTTCAGATTGCAACAGAGCAAGTGCTGAAGAATATAGTAGTGCCTCCTGAGCCAGCCAGCCTGGTATTTCATGTAGTCACCCTTGACTTGCTTCTGTAGGACCCGTCCTTTGACACGATCAGCGTTGCTTTGCTAGATGGTGCTTGCAGGAGCGTTGTGTTTTGGCAGCACCTCTAGTGGAGTCCCCTCTGTCAATGGCAGGGAGAGCTTCATTATAAACAGTGGGAGCGGACCACAGTTTAAAAACATTTGCAGTGCATGAGTCACTAATAGCTAGCCAAAATAAGTTACAGCATTGTAAATCAAAAGTTAACTATATTTGAGGGGAAAAAAAAAACCAAACCAAAACTAATTAGCATAAGTAAGCACCCCTTGTCAGAATGGGGAAGGATTCTGGCTACATTTCAATAGGATTTGGGTATCCAGTTCCCCTAAACTCATCCTGGCCTTGTGTGTCTGCACAAAGCAAAGCAACTGAAGCTGACAGATGGTCGGTGCAGCCTGTCATCTCTTGGTCTCCTTGCTGAGGCTTGGTTTGGATATGAAAGTGTCTGAATGAATAGACTGAGATAAGCAACTTGCTGCATGCGAACCCAACTGAACAGTAGTTCTTCCCCCTAGGTTAGAGAGGCATAGTTGAGGCAGTTGTCTACAAAGGGTGGTCTACAAGGAGAGATGAAACTTGTCTAGATGAGAGCTCTCAAGCTGTGGGGAAAGCCAGGAGCCTGGTAAACATGGTAAGAAAGAACACAGCAAGGAAGGACTTCAGGATTCATGAAGGAGAGAGATTTTGTCCCCTGATCATCACTTTATTTGGTTTAAATGCTTGCCAGTCAACAGAAGCAAATCCAAGCATTTCCCATAGCCCTCTCTGCAGAGGAAGTTCCTGCTAAAACACAGAGCTACTTTGCAAAAGCAGTATACCAGGAACCTCTTTTCTAACAGATTCCAGTTTCTAGAGGTTCTTCCAGTTTGGTATCTCCCAGCTTTGGGGACTTAGCTGGGAGCTGCCTGGTCCACATGCCCTAGAGAGTCTAATAATGAGAAAGAGTCACGTTACCTGTCTGACTCAAGGGTGATGGAGGGAATGTCAAACTTCATTCCCCAGAGAATATCCTTCATGTTCCCAGGTAGACCCTTTCTGACCTCATCTTTATTAGGATCGAGATGCTGACTTACGTCCAGAGAAGGGCTGTTGCGGGGCTGCAAGAAGAGTGAAGAACGATAGAATGGTTTAGGCTGGAAAAGACCTTTAAGGTCATCGAGTCCAACCATAAACTTTGCATTGTCAAGACCACCACTACACCATGTCCTTAAGCACCACATCTACATGTCTTTTAAATACCTCCAGGGATGGGGACTCCACCACTTCCCTGGGCAGCCTCTTCCAGTGCTTGACAACCCTTTTGGGGAAGAAATTCTTCCTCATATCCAATCTAAACCTCCTCTGGCACAACTTGAGGCCATTTCTACTTGTCCTATCGCTCGTTATTTGGGAGCAGAGACTGACCCCCACCTCCCTACACCCTCCTTTCAGGTCATTGTACAGAATGATCAGGTCTCCCCTCAGCCTCCTTTTCCCCAGGCTAAACACTCCCAGCTCCCTCAGCCACTCCCCATCAGACTCGTGCTCCAGACCCTTCACCACCTTCGTTGCCCTTCTCTGGACTCACTCCAGCCCCTCAAGGTCTTTCTTGTAGTGAGGGGCCCAAAGCTGAACACAGGATTTGAGGTGCGGCCTCACCAGTGCCAAGTACAGGGGGGCGGTTGCTGCCCTAGTCCTGCTGGCCGCACTATTTCTGATAGAAGCCAGGATGCTGTTGGCCTTCTTGGCCACCTGGGCACACTGCTGGCTCATATTGAGCTGACTGTCGACCAAAACCCAGGTCCTTTTCTGCTGGGTAGCTTTTCAGCCACTCATCCCCAAGCCTGTAGTGTTGCATGGGGTTGTTGTGACCCAAAGAGATCCTCAGCAGATTTTTCTCACTGTAAAGCCCCTCCTCTAGCCCAGGCTCTCAGCCTGCGCTCACAAAGACACTGTTGATACCTCACGTACTTTTCCATAGTTCCAGCCACCTGCTATTTGCTCCGCTCCTGTGGAAGGGCACCCGAAGTAGTTTAATCTCTCGTATAACAACATGACTAGCATTAAGTTTATTATTCAAGGTGAAACCCAACTCCTTGTCCTGTTCATTCTAGGCAATCATAATAAACAGGAGATGCTGCTGCTTGGACTCCCTGCTGAAGAGCAGCAACTTCCTGGCAGCCCCTTACTGTTTCAAAACACAGACAAGTTTTCTGAAAACAAAGGAGCCAGCAACATCTTTCCTTTCTTGCAGGAAAGACCTGAGGATGTCAATAACAACTGTGCCACGAGCGAGCAGAGGCTTCCAGATCAGAGAGTCACCGTCAGCAGTCACTTGGTGAGTTGCATGTTTGGCCATCTAACTATTGCTTTTCTGTTTGCCACCAGGCCAGTTTTCTCTCTCAAATCTGACACAGCAGCAGCTGGGAGGATGAACATGCTGGCTCATGCACAGCACTGCCTGGGTCCTTTTCTGTCGCTAAAAGCCTTATTAATTCTCTGAGTCAAAGGGAAGGAGAGCGAAGCTCCGGAGACAACATGTTCATAAAACAAAGCTCTGTACAGCTCCTGACTGGCACCAGGACCCAGCCAGGCTTTGGGGTGGGGGTGAGTCTATGGCCGTGACACCAGACCATGGGACAGCGTGGATTCTCCAGCACAAAGGTCTGCTCTGCCTTACCCTGAGCATGCTGGGCATCACTGTATGTAGCAGAAGCAGGTGGTTCGGTGTTCCCTCCTCCAGCTCAGAGAGGTGCAGGTGGTGTAACCTCGCCAGTGCTCTGGGACAGAGCAGAGATGGGGAGGAAGAGTTAAAGATCATTCCTAGAGAAACAGCTGAGAACTGTGGACTCATGACACCCAAGACAAGGTTTTGTGGGTGGATTGTTCTCCAGTTTGCCACCAGAAGACAAAACTTGAAGATAATAACAGAGCAGAAGCAAAGGTGCTGCTTTACCTTTTAGCAGTATCTGCTGCCACTGAATAGTTTCTTCGCAGAGTAGCACGTGCTGCTGCAGTTGCTGGATAATAAAAATCCTTCTGGCACAATAGATTCTCCTCATTCGGTGTATTTGCCTGCAGTTCTGTGTTGCCAAGCTCAAGCTCATGGGCTCTGCAGAGAAGCCTTAGCACCTCCTACTGATCCTGACTGGTGATTTGTTTGGGGAAAAACTCCTCCATCTGGGAAGCTTTTTCCTTGGCATTAGCTAAGTGCTGCTCCAGCTGTCTGAAAAAGAGAGATAGATAGGGGTTTGTCAAGGCAGCTCAGCTTCTTGGGATGACAAAGGCATCTGAGCAATTCTCTGCTGTGTCCTTCATGCTGAGGTTAACATCTACAAAAAGTATTTTGCTTATTTGACTAGCAGCCACCATGTTTCAGCCATGGCAGATATATCGATGCACAGTCCTTGCCTAGAGGAACTCACAAATGTTAATGTTAGCTACCATAAAAATAATCATCTAAAGTGATTCCCAAAACACTGAACAACCAGTGAGTGACAAACCTTCAAAATGTCCCTGAAAGGGGAAATGGGAAGAATTAGCTCACTTAGGGGTGCACAAGCTCAGTGGGTGCTTTTCCCTCGTCCTAAAAAACACAGGGATAGAGGCAGGACGCAAACATCAGTGATCCCATGCTGCTTCCTTCAGCAGCCCAAGGTATTTAGGAGTCCAGCTGCAATACAGGTGCTACACTGCGTTTCACCCAAAAGCAGAAGAACCCCTCTGAGTTCGGCTGCTGCCATCCTGCCCTCAGGCACCCACTGGGCAGAGGTCAGACCTGCAACCATAAGGGCACCTTCACCTCCTCACCTTCAGGGCCACGGTCTTGTCCGGTTCTGCCAGCAGCAGGTTGATCTCGTCTCTTGCTGCTGTAACTTCATGAGGTTCAGGTGAATTTATGATATCCACTTCCCTATCTTCCTCCTCTGTGTTTTCATCTTTCTCCTTCTTCGCTGGCTTGTCATACTTGCATTCACCCTGAGCCTTCTCTCGTTCCCACCTGCCAGCAAAAAAAGAAAGGAACTTGTGGGACATGGTGACATAACTCTAATGATGCATGCATAGCCATTCATTGTATCTGTCCAACTTCTTGCATGACAGCAACAGAACTAATTAGTCCAGGCTGCTCTGGAGCTGGACGAACCATGCAAAGAGCACAATTAGCTTCCTCCCGTTTGGAAGTCTGTAAGACAGGCCTCCTATGTGATCTCTCCATGGCAAGGAGAGCAGTGCTTTTCCCCACTTCATCACAAATTGTTGCCTATTCACAGGTACATGTTGAATATCTTTAATGTCCTGAAGACTGCTGTAACTACAAATGACCCAAATCCTAAGGGACTATAAAATTTACAGAGGCATTAGGTGGGTGACTAGCAACAAAGAGAGGGAACTGATACCTACTTATAGTGTATCCAGAAGAAACGGTTGATGCTGCGTTCTCTGACATGAAATCGTGCCCAGATGCAGTGCATCTGGATGGAAACCATGTCACAAACACAGAGTGACTGGACCATGGAAGGACCAACAATCCCAGTCTGCGTTGCCATCCATTTTTTTCCATTAAAACAGAAGCCCAGAATAAGGTCCAAATAGAGGTGAGGTATTTACCATCTATGCTTTTAGTCTTGAGCTTAAACTTGATGCTAGAGGTAGCTGGTTGCCTTACGGAGCTACATCAGGCAATTGCACTGCAGTGCAGCACCATGTGCAGGCTGCAGTCTCCTTACAAGCACCGAGAGGGATTAGGGATGTGTTTCTCAATAGCAGAAATCACCCGTTGCAAATATAGCACCTTAATCTAAGGCTCAGAGTCACATGGACTTAATCTACCTTAAATCCCTGGGTACCTTTTGAAGACCACCACCTTCCCAAGTTTTTCCTCGTCACATAGGTAAATCTCAAACCTACACTTGATCTCATCCTTTTGTCATTTTTGTTGGGGGACCACGGGATATTAGCATTTCACAGGTGAGTTTAGAGGTCCACGTATAAATTGTGCTCAAAGCCAAGAAGCTTCTCACTTCGTGATTGTTAGGAGGTGCCTGCAGGTATCAATGTGCAGCTCAGTGTTGTTTTCCAGCTCCATCAGGCTGCGACACATCTCCATTTGCTCCCTGAAAGCCCCCCATCAGCTGCACCCACAAGGTGATCGTTACTTGGCCACTGTGTGCCTTAGAGCCTTGGTGCCTCTCTGCTGCAGGAGAAGACATCTCTGACCTGACATTAGGCCAGGTAAACTTCTGCCAAGCCCCCGCAAAACTACTCTGAGACCAAGCCACTCAGTCCACATGTTTCAAGGCATTCATTTATAGGACTCTGCTTCATTCTGCAGTCTCTTGAAGTTAATCATGTGCTTAAGAAATCTGATATAACTTTATGATTGTATTATTAGCAATAAATAGGTCTGAATACTCACAAAAGCAGTAGCAATAAAAGGATACTGCATTGCAGGGTCATCTTTTCCACTTTCCACCTGCCAAGAAAGTATTGGTTTTCTGTGCTTGTTACCTAGAAATGACCTTGAGTATTGGTAGAAGAGACCTATTATACCTCCTGTCTTGTCAGTCAGAGAACTTAACTATTTTTATTTTGTTCTTTGCCAGATTCACTGGCAAAAGGAACAATCCCCAGGGCAGAACAATCAATGTTTTAAAAGCTTCACCCTGCCCTCCTCCCTATTTTTTTTTTTTTAATTAAGTGCAACGATCCATACAACAGAGCTCCATGTCCTGACACAGCCTCAGAGCCCACGATGACGCAGGCTACAAACTCGGTCACCTCTCTGTAAGAGTCAGGACTTCCCACAGCAAATATCACCACTTGATGTCAAAGCTCTTTTCATGGGCAAGTTTGTGAAATTTAACACATTTTAACGCTGGGGAAGATGCTGAGAAGGTTGAACGTGTTATCTGGAGTCACGCAGTAGAGCAGAGACAGGCTCACACAGAAAAACAGCTCCCCTGCCTGCCTCCCCTGCCTGTCAGACTGTGTTCTCTGCTCTGCTTCTCTGCAAGCATTGCTGAACCAGGTTCCCCCAGCCACGTCTGCATGGAGCCCACCAAGCGCTACCACAACGTGTCCACACAGCCCCTCTCCCCGCTCTCTTCCATCCAGATGCCCCAGAACAGTTCTTGCTCCTGGCTCTACCTTGCAGATCCCTGAGGTCGGAGCTGACTGCACTTGTTTTTCTTCTCTTGGTTTTCAACCCTTGCTTTCAGACACTCAATCTCCCTGCGAGGTCTGTGATGATGCTGGTGTATTGGTCGATGCTGTTGGAGACATTCTGCAGGTTACATTTTACCTAGTGAGCCAGAATATGTGAGCATTTGTCCTACGGTCTGTTAGTGGTACAATGGCTACAAAAAAAGCTATGTTTTCAGTTAGAGGGGCAATGCATCCTGTGACGCCCCTGTGACGGGGAAGAATTTTCCCTCATGAGTGAGGAAACTGTAAATTTTTTTCCTAATTCTCAGGAAAAAACCTAAAAGGCAACAGAGAAAAGCCAGGGACCTTGTGTCCACAGGAAAAACACAGAGATCAACAAAAAGTGAAAACCCTGTTGTAAATCATTGTTCATCTTCCTTCACCCCACAAGCCTCTCCATTTTATTCCTCCTTTCTGCAGCCCCTCAGTTCCTTTTCCAGTCCCAGCATCCCCACTGGTCCCTACACATTGTCCTCCCAACAGTCATCTTTGGACCATCATTCCTTACGTTCTGCACCCAGGTCCATACCAGCCACATCGTGTTCTGCCTTTCCATTATTCTGCTCCTTTGTTTTGACCCTCATATTCCTTTTCTCATCCACAACCCATACAATTTGCTTTCTGCTGTTCCCTTCACCTGCTTTTCTTCCATCACTCACCCTGAGCCTCTACACCATCCTGCACTGCCCCCTCCTGAAGTTTGTTCTCCCTTCATCCACTACATCTTCTATTTCCACTTCGCAAGTTTTAATCTCGACACCCCCCTCCTTGTGAGTTGTTTGCTCATTTACCTGTGTCGTGATGTTTTTTGCTCGATAGGCATAGATCAAGGTCATTTGAGATTCTTCAAAGGAGGTACTGGCTGGGCTGATATGTGCAATCATAACAGTCCTGCTGTTGCTCCCTAACGAGTCCTAGAGGGATGCAACGTTGATGTGGTTAGGATGGACACAACAGGGGCTTGGTGCTCAGTGGTGACCCTTGTGGCTGGGTACCCCTGCGGTTCATTGAGATTCTAGTGGAGAATCCCAATTAGGAGTGAAGGAAGTGCTGGTAAAAGACCATTCATTAGGCCCTCTTCTCCATCAACAGCAAAATCAATAAGTAATTAACTTTCTACAAAAGAAGAATTTTTGCGAGAAAATTGCAATTTCCACAAATATGCTGGCAGCTTCTCAATGCTGCTCACAACAGAAGCCTGCCTTTTTCTCCATCCCTTCTCCTCCCCAGCATCCTCTAGAAAACACATCTGTCAGGCAGCGACAGTGGTAGCTCAGCACCAAAGCTTGAGGTGAGGTTCATAAATGAAATTGTAAAGGATCCATAAAATAACCAGTGTAGCAAAGATCCTGTCTGCAGGACCTTTCTGATTTCCTAAGGAGGAGATGACTTATGACAGCACATAGCCTCTCTTCCTCCTGCCCCAACAGCATCCAAATTTATTGGCCAATTTCAGCCAAATCTTGTAGAAGGGATGAAACATTCAAAGGCAGTAAGTTCATTAAAAAAGAAATAAAATCACTTATCACCTGTGAGCTTAGAGACATATGACCCAAATCTGTAGGACTTCCTTAATGCTGTAGGAGGTCCTTCCTTAACAGCGCAGATGGCAAGACAACACATTTATTATAGAGACAGCACTGTCTGAGCCAAGCCCCAATCGCATTGCGAAGCTCATGCAAGATCCTGGAGGAACATTCCAAGCTGGATAAAGACAATGCACAGAGATATTCAAGGATCAGCTCTCAAGCCCTGTCTGATTTGAGCGGTGATACCAGGAACAGACCGGCCAAACTCCTTGCTGACCTGCAGCGTACAGTACCTTCAGCAGGTGCGCGAGTTTGCCACCTCAAAAATTGACAAACTGGGCCCGGTTCCCCCTGTTCTCACTGAAAGCATTGATGCAGTTACCCAAAGCCAGCAGCAAGAGGTTGACGTGGGCTCCTTCCTTCATCCTCTTGCTCTGGTTTTGAGTCTGTTGGAAGGGTAGGGAGGGAAAGGGGACAGACAAAGTACGTGCTTCAGAACAGTGAGTCTGCACCTGGGGAAGATGTGCAGCATCACCAGAGTCAAGGTTTGGATGTCAAAGCAATGCCTCCTGCAAAATCAACCTGAAAGTGCAGGGTTAAACCCCACTCTAGGCACAGAGATGCTGGCAGGAGTACATTTCTTGGAAAAGATGACCCAGCTCTGATCTCTTGGTTCTTAAAAGATAGCTATTAATTATCTTCGAAAGATTACTTCAGAAATTAAGATGCATAACTACATCACTCCAGAAATTCCTGGTCTCATAGAAATACAAGGTATGTAAATTTTCTCTCCCTCAAATCACCTCCCTGAGTTCTTGCATTTCCTCCTTCCCATAGGAGCCAGCTGCCTTATTTTCCACCCACCAGCATCCCTCTATTAAACTGGTACCAGCTTTCTCTCTGACAGCCCAGCTGATCCCTGCCTAACAGACCTCAGCTTCTCTTTAGATGTGAAATTCGCTGCTGCTTTTTCAGACCCGAGAAAAAGCTGCACCCAAAAGCTGGTTTACATTTTTCCAATTATACTAGTTGATCTAGTAAAAGATCTTACCAATATCATCAAACTTTGTCTTTATTTTCAGGCTGTCTCAGGTGCAAACTACTGCTCTAAAGCAACAGAGAAACACACGGTGCTGGTTTCCCCAGGGATGAGGACAGGCGTGTAGACCCCGTATGGCCGGCCAGGGAATCTAGCCCAGTCTCACCAAAAGCTGCCAAGCTCCAGCCGTACCTGAGCTGCTCTCTCCGACCCTGCCAAGTTGACCATGAAAAGCTTTCCAATTCGCACTTCCTTGTCGATTGCCTTCCTTCGGCTTTTCTGCGTCACCGTCACCCGTGGCACTGCACGCGAGTGGGAGGACGTCTTGTTGGCAGCAGGGGGTTCCTAGGTGCGTTGCTTGTTTCCTTTCATTAACAGCTGCATGATCTAAATGACGCAGAAAAGCACACAGAGATGTACAGCTCTGCCTGAGCCACAGCATAGTGTTCCCACAGACTGAACCCCTCACCCAGGGCACAGGCAAACTCTGGTCTCACTCATGCTAGCAGGGGTTTTGCTTTTTTTTTTCCCCCAGATCTCTCTCTTCGGCTTGTGACTTTGGAAGTGTAGGTTTGCTGGGTTTGGGGCTGTTTTCCTGGGAGACCTGTTTATCTCATGTCCAAGGCACATGTAGAGGTGCACATCAGTGTAGCTCAGGGGGGTTTTGTTATTTCTTCTCCCTCTCCAAATGGTTTGTTGATGCATGAGTATGCAAATCAAAGAGCTCTTGTCCTCCCAGGAAAGCAGCATGCACCCTGGGGAAGCAGAGCTAGCAGGAGGTTAGCTGGGGATTTTCACCTGGTTTCTATCACTCGCGTGGCTCCATGATCAGCCCTTTCCATACAATTCATCACAATAACCCAGTTCCACCAAGGTCCTGCTGCAAAAGGTCCTTGTTATGAAGTAAAGCGCAGACAATAAGAAAGTGTCAAGAAATTTTAAAGCACTGATGCATGAAAGCACAAATGCCCTCCCTTTCCCCTCATCGTGGGTCATAGCCCAAGGTACCTCCCAAGCATTTGTAGTGGAGACTTCTTTGATTCCTGCTATCTGGATGCTGCGTCTGGGGTCCTCTCTCAGGTCTAAGAACCCCAAGGATGGGTCCAGGAGGTCTTGGATCACTTTGTTATAGATCTGAGGGTAAGAAACAACGGGTTAGTGTGAGACTAACATTGGGTCCTTAGATCTGCAAAGAAGTTGGTGTTGATCCTGCATTTCAATGGACAGACTCGGACTCCCCACATCCCATCGCGCCTGCTCCACAGAGACTGGATCCAAGGCAACACAGACACTTCACCTCCAGGTAGGACATGGAGACCTTGTAATCCATCTCCTTGGTAGTAGCTTTGAGGGCCTTGAAAAGATCATCAAGAGTGCGGATGTAAATCCCTGGTTCACAGTCCATCCTTAGCATCATAGAGGTTTTTCCAGCTCATGTTAAAGATACAAAGAAGAGCAGCAAAGCCTAACTTCCACGTGAGCAAGTTTCCACAACAAATAAAGCCTGGTTTCCTACCAGTTTCTATCCTTTGTCCCCTAACTTCCTCCAGTTACTCACCCCACGACGACACTGTTTCAGGAAAGACATGGCACGTGCCATCCAAAAAGGGTAGGAAGAGGACTTGCAGATGGGCAGATACATAGGTTAACTGCTCACTCAGATGTTCAGAGCTAGAGTAGAAATACATTTTCATATAGTCTGTAGTCTATAAGTGCTTTCTACAGCTACATCCGTTCTTCTGAGATCAGTCTCCAGTGTTGCACAGATGCCCTCATCTCCTCCTCCTTTTTAAAGGGAAGATCTGTCTCCACTGAATTCCACCTCAATTAAGTGACTTTGCAAAGAGGGCAGCTTCGCTGTTACTTTAGCATTTAAGGGAGATCCACACTTCCCAGTGAGAATGGTATTTTTTAATGCCTCAGTCTTGTCCTCACAGTAAGCAGTTAATTGGCATTATAGTTAATTTCTCGTTTGTACAGCTATATTTTATGCATCTGGAGTTGTACAGCTACAGGGACTACTTCATCTGTTGGACCATATGCGAAAATGGTTGCACTGTAGCCAGAAATGACTCCTTCTATCAGGCTTTTGGTCATGGACACATATACTTCCTCCTAATTCAGTCAAAAAAGCAGAAGTTTTTGGTGAGGCACAACAGCTGTCCAAATAATCTATACCTAATTGCATTCCCCATGATTTTCTCACTCTGTTTTACAAATTTCCTGGGCTTTGGAATGATTTGTGAGCCATTTGAGTTTTGACACATCATCAAAATGAGCAGAAAAGCACAGAGGCTTATTGAACTTTCTAAAGGCAGGCAAGACACAGGAGCTTACTAAAATAAATATCCTTAAACATGATTATTTTCTTGGACTCTGAACATGGAAAGCTTTGTTTTTAATTTGTGTCTGCTGAAGAAGGAAGTAAATTCTCTCCCCAACCTTATCCTTTATTGAGAAGTGCCACTGGGCCTCCAAAAATGTCTTAGGTAGCACACGAGGGTGCTACGCTGAAGTCTCATGTGAAAGAGAACACAGATAAAACTGAATTGCCTGTGAGAAGCAAGACTGCAGTCACACGGTGATCACAAAATGCAGGTGCTGATGAAATCCTCATACTGCGCCTTACACCTGTCTGCACAACACAGCTCGGTAAGGGCACTTCATGAGCCTGTAAAACAAAAGAGGCACAGGGAAGAAGTGTGTGAGCAATAGAGCCAAGCAATGTGACAACGATCTCATTCACCAGAGACCCTGGGAGAAAAAGCTGTCCATCTCTTCTGCTCAGGTGTGTTGCATCTGGCGAGTCCCGATGCGGGAGGGAGAGGGAGACTGAAGACTGCACGTGTCTCCCCGCTTCGCTGACAAAAGGAAAACCCTCACAGTCCTGTCACCGTCAGCACCATCGCCTTTTATCTGGGTGACATATGGCCTCTGGGATGTGCAGTTCTACTCACCTGCCAAAAACATTCATCTAAGCAGGGAAAACAATTCTAATCTTAAGCCTTTTGGTTAAAAAAAGGGAAGGATGTTACCCGGGTTGCTCTGTGATCAAAACCCATGTCAAATATAAATGTTTTTTCTCAGGATCTGTTAGTTCGCAAGACGTCATCTGGATCTTTGCTTGGATCCATCAAGACCACCCTCTGTTAGAAGATAAAGTCAGAAGAACCACCGTTATGTCTGGGTTTGGTTAACAGCCTGTTGGGATTTCTCACAGCACTGTCACCATCGCACGTCTTGGCCAGAGGAATGTTGCACTACAGCTTTGCATAGAAAACACACTTATATGCACAATGCTGAGGCCGACAAGCTTTGTTTTGCAACCAATGTCACAACTTCTGTAATTTGGAGAACGGGTAGCTGCTGCAAAATGCTTTGAAGGTCCACTGTGCAATGAAATAGTTGCTGGCATTGGGTAACAGTGGTGGTTGCAGAGATGTGACACCCAACCAACGCCCATGCAAGCAGGAGTGGGACAGGACATCTTACCTCAATTTTCAGCCAAGATTCAGACAGAGTAGCTATGAAAGAAAATAGTTAAGTTCCTTGGATGCAGAAGTGCCCAAAGTCATCTTCCAAAGCCTTTCCTGCAGAAGGGCTGTAGAAATATCTGCATTGCTCAAGGACAAACTTCATTCCATTTCTGGCTTTTATTAAGAAAAACACAAAGGTGGGAGAGGAGTTGCAGCAGGTTACAGAACTGGTTCTGTTTCTTTTCAGTCCCTTAGGGTCTATTTTAGTACTTAATTATCACAGTATATAATTACTGTGGAGAATCATATTCTTTCTCCTCCACTAAAATGGCTCATAAGATGATGCTCGAGCCTCAAGGGAAGGGACAGAGAACCCTGTGCCTCCTACTCCAGAGCAGCTCTCACTCTCTCTCAGGTAAACAGATCATTAGATAAGCAATTAGAGCATAGATCAACCACCACTTGACCTACAGAATAACGGCATTAGTGTGCCAGGCATGGGAGAGAGACAAGTATCTAGGACAAGTGCCCATGAGCGTTCAGGAAATGGCAAGACTTTGTTTTGTTTTTTTTTTTTTTCTTTTGCATTTTCTGCTGAATTCCAAGTCTTTAATGAGTATCTCTAGTTTTGATCTGCAAATTTTCAATTACCGGAATGACTTTTTTTCTTTTTTTTTTTTGCTTTAGTTTTTGCTGGTCCAGCTCAGGCCTTAAAACCTGAAGCAGCACAAGAACAAACTCCGAAGGGAACTCCTGGTTTATCCTCGACAGTGCCATGTGCCTGCAAAAGATGGGCTGATGCCTAATCATGTGCACATGCAAGCGTGATGGCCAAGAGCAGAGCTTGGAGAATGAGGTCAGCAGGTTTCCTTTAGAAATTTGTGCTGTAACATTTTCAGGCCCCTTTTCCTGAGTCCTTATAACGTCCAAATTTTGGTCACAGCTTATCCACGCATCCAAAGGAGTCATCCTCTTCTGGTCTGGGGCTAACACCTTGCCTAACCAGCAATATTCTAAAAGCATCAATCTTCTGCTATTGCACAGAGGCATTAAAACACAACGAGACACTAACAGAGTCAATTTTGAGTTAAGATTAATAAGCACACAGAAGCAGTTCTAAACAAATTAGGCTGGGAGTAAAAATAGCAGGGAACATGAAGTAAATCAAAATATACCACAAAATCTAAGTACTTCAACTGCCCAGTCAGTTAATTTGCTTCCATAGTTACAGTTATTTGCATTATTAAGAGAAACTCTTCTCATAGATAGAACTTACTCAGACTAATGTAATGCACATTTCCTTCCCAGATTTCCATTAGAGAAAATAGATCTCAGGGCAGATGATGCAAGTCTGAATAAGCTGTATGAAAATAAAGCTGATATCCTTGTGAGGTTGAAAAAAGAAAAAAAAAAAGAGTAGGATGTTTCACCAGTAAGGTGCTAAACAAAGTTGCATTTGTAAGATAATCCATAAAGAAGAAAGAGCGATTCATGCTCTCTTTGCTTCTAGGGCTGCTATCATTTGACTATTGCATGGAGACAAGAGATAAGATGTATTACAGAATTAGCGTGCATTCAGAAAGGGTTCAGAGAAAGATCAGCTGAAGCATGATACAAAATAATGGGATTTACATTGGAAAAGATGATGAATAACAAGGGCATAATAAAAATACATAAATAGATGTAGCTATGCAGAAAAGGTAAGTGAAGACCTCCTGCAATCCCTGCCTCTTAAAAAGACGAGCAAGAGGTGAAAGATGCAGAACTGGAGAAAAGAAGTGCCATTTGCATGGGAAGTTGCATCCCTGCTGTGTCACAGCCAGGCCAAGAGTTTTGCAGGATTTGAAAGCAAGTGTTTGCATGTGAACCAGAAGAGCCAGAGCCTCGAGGTGGTCCACACGGTACCCGGCAGACCCCCTGGTCCCCATCACAGACCAGGTACAATTCTGCCCGTGCTCCCCCCCCCAGCTCACCTGCTCGCCCACGCTGCGGGCAACCAGGGCAGCTCCATCCTCTACTTCTGCCTCGTTGAGGGGATCGATGCGAAGGGCCACTTGCACACACAGCACACACACACGGCTTACGTGTGCTGCGGCCACCCAGACTTACCTGCAACAGGGCTCAGCTCTGTGCAAGCACCAGTCATATCTACAGCTTCTCACTGCATCTCTTCCACTGATCAATCTAAAAACCTTAAGCTTAGGGCCTAGAGAGTTTAAGGAAGTTTACACAGTTTAAACCAGTTAATTGTCCCGTGATTTGCACTTTTATCTTGACAAATTCTCCCTCCCTCTTCCCCCATTTCTGTCTCTAACGCAGCAAGACTCCAAGTGAGTGACAGAGAAGGTGGCAGAATGAACTCAGCCTTGTCATGCTGCTGCCAGCGGAAACCTTCAGAGGTCTGGGACCGTGGTATCAACAGCCTGAGCATGCTTACAGATTTCCCCTGGTGTTCCCAAAACACTGATTAAAAGTTATCCGTGACAAAGAAAGGGAATTGCATTTCACTAAGTACCCATTTCATTTAATCCCAGGTAGCAATCATTATGAGCCTGTTCAACCAGATCAGAGCAAGTTGGCCCTGATCTGTGCAGGTCCTGCAGGGTTCCTGGAAGCTGGAATTCATCACAGGACTGGAGCATTTATAAAGTAGCAATTAACTGCCAGTGCCTTGTGCCACAGCTCAATCAGTCAGAAACACATCACGCCTTTTTGAAACATCAATGATAATTTGACTCAAAACATTTAAAACACACCGGCTGTATTTGCCAGTATTAATAATATACAAGAGCACATATATTTCAGCCTGTTTAACATATAGGTGTGTGGTGTCATGGATCAGCGGTGGGGTTAATTGGCCCCCTGAAGCTGGGGTCCTGCTCTGACCCTGCCTCTTTGCAGCTGTGGGCGAGTTGCACAATCCCAAACCTGTGTGCCTGGTGGAGGGTCTATTTGAAAACCCACCTAAAAGCTGTCCTTGGGGGTCTCAGCTACTAACAGAGATTTGCAAAGTTCTGTTTTCAGCTTTCCATGGCTGTTTTCCCCTTCGTAAAATACAGCAGCATCCCCTTAGCAGCTCCTGACAGGAGAGCTGATGCTGATAAAACACTGTGTAATGCACAGAAGCGATGCCTCGTCAGGAGAGTGTGCGATTATTGAAACAGACCTCTTCTACAGCCCCACCAGTCACAAGCAGCTGCTTTCTATAGGAACCAGATTTATTTTCACAATAACAAGCTACATGTCATTTAATGAGGGTTTCACAAACAGCTCCCAGTCTCAAGCACTGTAGTAGATATTTTTGAGTAGTTCCAGCAACAGCAAAGGAACATTTCTTCACTATGAATATCTCAGAGTACAAGGTAAGCTCCTTGGCTTTGGATAGCTTTTAATATTCACAAGAATGCAACAATTAACTTTAGCTTCATCATCTTGCTAAACACATCTTAACACCACTGTTACGAGCACCTCATTCCCATGGGCTGAACTCATCTCTTGGAAGCATTTGAAAATATTATCTTGCACATCATAATCCCAAGTCCCGCAGGAGGAGCAGGGGATAGGAGCAGGGAAGGCTGGACAGCCTTAACCTCCAGAATAGTCCGGTTAATCACTGGATTTGGTAGCCCTAGTCACTGAGGGTAAGAAAACAAACCCAAATAAGCAGCATGTGGAGACAGGTCACACCAAGTACTAAGGCTTTTCCTTGTATTAGAGAGGAATGCAAGGTATTCTAGATATTATTGACTTTATTTTAAGCAATTCCGCTTTGAGCAGCGGTTTCTGTGTCTGCCCCAGTCGTGTTTCAGCACATTGTGAGAGTAATGCTTCAGTTCAACTGAGAGCCACAGGGTTGAAGGTTGAAACTTGGGAAAGGATTACATTTTCAAAGCACTCCTCTTACTCTGATAAACACAGAGAGATGCCAAGGTCCTACAGCAATGGTGAGGACTCTGACAGGACTATAATCCCAGCTGCTTTTGGTTGCTTATTACCAATCTGTCACACAGACAGATCCCAAAGAGATGGGCATGTTGGACAGTGGTCCAAGGAGGACTTACCACCACCACCTGCCAGGTTACCCAGCCTCACCTCCCCCACTATAAATTTTTCTCCTGTGCAGTATACTTATACACTTTTACTTTAAATCATGCAGAGCTTTGCACAGAGAGTGCAAGTCTGGGGTTTTTTTTCTTCCAGCTGGGCCACAGAGCCCAGGAACACTTGAAGACAGCTGGGAAACAGGACAAGAAGGATGCAGGGGCTGGGTCCAACCCAGCTGCTCCTCCCCATCCCATGTCCTGCCCTAAGGAGGTGGACTCACCATAAGCTGCTGCTCCTTTCATGGCTGAGCTGCGAGATGGTGCCAGCTCAGGGCTGGGTGATTTGCCCAGGGAGGCACACAGAGAGCTGAAGCCCTTCAGGAGGCTGCAGAAGCAGGAGACTGAATGCTTCAGAGGCAGCAGCCATCACCCCAGGGAAGGAAAAGAGAGGCAACCCCTGTGCTCCCACCGGTGGGAGATGACTGCAGGGACAGCAGGAGAGGCAGCAGTGAAATACTGAGCCACAGGGCAGGACAGGCCTGCAGCAACTCTCAGCTACTCCAGGCTGCAGTGTGCCACCAGGGCACCTTGCATAGGACACGGCAAAAAGGGCCAGGAAATGCAAAATGACCCACCTGCGAGCCCAAACTAGTTCTTTACGTGCAAATCCATCTGCATACATCCTTGGTGAGCAGGCCACAGCCTTCATTTTCTGCCCTCTAGGATGTCAGACTTCTCCTTTCCCTAGGATCAACCAACCAGGTACAGGGGCCCACAGCTCCACCAAAAGCTGAGCAAGGAGCACCCTGGCCCCTCCAGTCTTGCACAAGAACTGACAACAACTAGCCGAACAGTCAGGAAACAGTTTGCTACCTCCCTGAGCTAAGTGCAAACCTCCACTGTATTGTCATTCACGCACAGTGGCATTTCATGACTCCTACATTCAGGAAGGCAATCCTTCAGCATTTTTAGCATCAATCCATTCTTTACAGTAACCTATTAAAAAACCCCACAAGATCACCTTTTGTCTTCATTATTTATTGACAGTAAATGAGTCAAAGCTCATAAAAGTTACAGTAAAGCTTTATTTAAAAATATTAGAATTTATGAAGTTAAAACTTAATATAGCAAGCGAACAAAACTTGCTCTATGAAGTTTGCATTAAGGACTATAGATGGTTAAAGGGTCATGAGAATGTTTATTACAAATCCAAAATAAAGACTGTGAAAATGAAGACTAGCCCAGGATTATATTAATCGTTCCAGTTAATATTGCTATTTAGGAACAATCATTAAAAATACTTAAGACAACACTTTAACAAACACAATGAGAAATACTATCCTACTTAATGCTTAAGGTTTGTTTCCCCCCTCTAAATTCTGGACCCTTAAAGGCATTCAGTGGAGGTACAACTGCTGTTGGAAGCTTACTGCCCACCCATACATCTCTCTATGCAGTACCTATAAACCTGCTTCTGTTTTGACCACCCTTCAGAAGCCCTTGTAAGGGCCACAGGCTGAAAACCAGTGCTATAGACTACTGGAAGCTACACACCCAATATGGATTCAATCCAACAAGACCCTTCCTCCCTACTACAACTCCTGGTGTTATGCCAAGATATGCCAAGTAGACTAGTTTACCGAACATGTATCCATAAAGCAAGTTCAGTAGCACATAATTTGCAAAAAGCATTTTTTTTTTCCCCAAAAAAAGTAAGAAACACTACAGAAAAGACACAGTAATTGAAAGGAGCAGTGTCAAAAATGCCAGCATTACTGATGAGAAAAGGCCTTAACTGCTGGTCAGGGCAACATCTTGTCCGTTTCGAAAACTCCTACAGGAGCATCAAGTTTTGGGTGTGTTGGTTCCCCCCCCCCCTTTTGCTCACTGATGATCATCCACACTTCAGAGAAGCATCTTAGAAGAAAACTCAATTCATTTAACATTGGCATTACATTTCTGTACTTTGCAAATGGCCAGGAATAAAACACTGTAGCTTATTAAAACTTCATTGCATGGAGACAGGGGGGAAAAAAAAAAAAATCCCCCAAACTTTTCAACTCCATTCATAACTTTGAAAATGGCTGAGAAGTCAGCTCTTCACAACTAAGGGGTAATTAAAATCATTCCTGTTTATAGAGGCTCAAGCCATTACTGGCGAACTTTGATATGCTGGAAGTTCTTCTGCACTGTTTTGCTAGAAAGTATTTTTTCCAGTCCAGTTGAGAGGGGAGCTTGGTAAATATTGTGGACTAAACTTTAATCATCTATGTATCTGTATATATGGATTATGAATGAACAAATGCAGAAAACTGGAAACTAATATAGACTTCTGGAAAAAAAACCCCACCTGCTGGTGTAAGAGTGAATTATTGAAACTAAGTCAATACCATCATTATGGAACAATCATTTTGAAGAGTCTTCCTGATGAAGAGAACATGGGAGTTAATTAAGGGGTTTGTGCATTTGTTATCACAGCAAGTTCACCTAAGGACAAAGAATAATGAGTGCTGAAAACATTACTGTCCCTTGGCTGCCTCCAGCTGAGCAGGGCTACCCTTTGCCCAAAGGGTACTTTCTGCTTTCTGCTTCAGATCTGTCAGACACTGCTATGTAAGTGAGCTCGGGGTTTCAAGAGAGCCAGTCAAGCCGGCTCACACTAGCAATTTCAGTGGCCAGTCCAGGAAAGGAGCCAGGAACATCCTCATTCTCCTCTGCCCCTCAAAGGGCAAGCAGCAGGCCAGTATCTCTCACTGCTCTGGCAATATCCAGAAGAGATACAAATACAAAAGCTATAAATACCAACGCAGAGGAGTTGCTCCGCCAGTTTTAAGTACACTCTTCCCCTCTGAGCACAGAGGGCTTTAGAAATGAAACTAGGTACAGTAACAGGGAGCATACGGCATGTGTATTCAGAGCGCTTCTCTGAAAGTTTGCAACGTTCACTAATAAGACTTAAGACTAATCCAGTAATTCCTGAGGCTAGGAATGGTTTGCAAATGGTTTAACAAATCCATTCATTTTCTCCTCACTCCACTCTAGTCTGACAAGTTGACCTGTTCACTAATGAGCCGTACCATCACTAAAAAACCAAACAAACCACAACACAAAACCAGAAGAGCCATGATGAACTGAGATTAAAAAAAATCCAAAAGGAACCATACAGTCAATATAGCAAACACGCACTTATGGGTCATGGGTACGCTTGACTTTCATCATTCAGGAAAAGATTCCCTACAAACAACGCGTAGCCAGCCTGGTTTTAGTATAGGTCTGCTTTTATTTCCATATTCAGCTCTTTGAGGGAGACATCCTTTCACAATCTGAAAGGAGGAGGATATAGCCCACTGTAGTGCTGCTTCAGCACACTAAAACACATCATACGAAAAATGGTTCTGTTGACTTTTCCCCAAACAAAATGAACACCTGTCCATGCACTCAGGACACAGAAAGAGTCCTGAAACAGAAACATTGTGTGTGTTAAGACAGAGGTGCACTGATGAATCTCACCTCACTGGCAACAGTCAAAAACTGCCAGTTGGTAAGTACGGCACGGGAGTCAAGAAGTAAATACCGGTAGTAGTGAATTTAAAAAGGGAAAAAAAAATAAAAAAAAATGATTTAAAAAGGGAAAAAAAAAATAAAAAAAAAATTAAACCCTAAAAAAAAAAAAAGGAATAAAAATTTAAAAGCAGCGCCTTTCCAGTATCTCACTGCAGGAGGCAGCAAGACTTAAAGGCACTACAATGTATCAGAATGGAGAAAATCTGGTGCATCCACCCTTCCAGAGTGCAAGAATATGGATTAAAAATTCCAAAGTTGATGTAGGCTTTCTGAAAACGAATTAACTTCTTTTCAGCACGAGATATGGTGGTGCTGCAGAAAAGCAAAAAAGAGGTGAGTTAGTAACCGTGCTTTTATACAAACAGCTCAATCTCACTACAGATGCTAGCTGGTGAAAGGCTACACAAACATGTGTTTCACATGTTCTTAAACTGATGTTTAAACCCATATGCTAAGCAGCTTCTCTCCCTCTTCCTTCCATAAAAGGATCTCCCATGTATGGGACACAGATAAGCCAGATCCAAATATATTCAAAGATATCAAAGCCATTAATTTCTCTACAGGTCCAAGAGATATACCATTCATTTTACTTGAACTCCTTAGACAGCTGGAGGCTAGAGAGCTGTAGGGTGACTTACAACAGCAAAAGGCATACTTCCCCTTCCTCTTCCTTCAGTGAAGCCCTAAACCTGGCAGAGCAGGAACCCATTCCAGGGTTTAAGCCTATGCGAGTGCCTTCGCTAGCAAAATCTTTTCCCTCCTCAATACAATACCAAGCTCCCTAAATTACTTTTCCTACAACAGAAGCTGAAAGTAGCCTCTGTTTTCAACATACAAATACATAATATGAATTCACAAAAAGGAACTGAGAAAAGCACTGGATTAAATAAAAGATTTCAGCCACAAGCAGTGACAGTTGGTACACAAGAATCTGCTACTACCTGAATTTTACCCAACATTTCTAGAAAGTGGTGACAGAGTTTATGTGGATATCTAAACATCTACTCAAAGTTTATCAGTCCCCAGTCAACTTGCTGTATAATCTTTAGTACAGTATTTAAACTTTGTCCAGTCTTGAACTAACATGCATTTCTTCCAAAAGGCAAAATTTGTCTCTCCTACTAACTACAATTCCTCCTACTGACAGAACTTACAGAGTCTGCAATACACTGTGTTTAGAAGTTGACCTTGACCCTGTTGTGGGTTTGATCACTCCAGCAAGACAGGGCATACAAAGTACTCTGCTCAGTACAACTCATAAATCTGACCATCTGCAATTACTTAAAAAAAAAAGCTTTTGTCCCCTCTAGCCACAAAGAAAACATAAACCAACTCAGAGAACACCACATTCACTCATGCAACAGACCTAACGTTCTCCAGCTAATTACTGAATCTATAGCAACAGCTGACAGAAAAAGTTTCTCTCTGCTGAGAGGTATGCTATCTTACCACAGTTTTGTTAATTACTCTGGTTCTGCAAGGGTAATAATTTCTTCATTGATAAAAAATTCAACAGTTTCCTCCTCCCAGTCATCAACATTGCTGTCCAGCTCATCTGTGTCTACCCCTGGAATGGAGAAAACATTGACACTGAATGCATCAAACAAGGCAGTAACGGAAAAATTTGATGCTCTTGGCAGAAACAGTCCTCAAACTAGCAGTGAAATAACAGGTGTTTGGTGCTTTAAATCGTAACAAGTACATGCTAAATTCATTAAATGACAACCAAGACATTACTGTCTGCCACCACAGGGCTTCTATGGATTTTCTGGTTAAATCTAACACCCAAATCTCTTCACAGTCTTATCCCAAGGTCAAGTCAATGCTTGCCTTGAAGCATAAAGAGGTGAGGTAAAACAGAGATACCAAAATCTGGCAGCCAGCAATATTTCAGCTTTCTCCCATTTTTAAAAAAAAAAAAGAAAAAAGAAAAAAGAAAAAAGAAAAAAGAAAAAAGAAAAAAGAAAAAAATCCTGTTGCAATTCAGGATAAAAAGTATAAATAACCTTTAGAGAACAAGGGACTAGCTTTGGCAGGAAATGGAGGGAGAGAAGTGGATGAATCCCCAGAACAGGGTAATTATTTGGTAGGAAGCAGCAAGTCTTTACAAGTACTATGTGTGGCTTACCTCCTCGAAGCTCTAAACGCTCGTTCCTCTGCTCCATGTACAACTCTTGTGCCATCTTGCGGTACTTTCTGAACTCTTCCATCATTGTACGTCTCCTTTCCACTAGCTCCTATGGAGGCAGGAAGAGGTCGTTAAACCTCCCCAGTAAATCAAATCCACATGCAATACTTTTGTTAGCCAGTGAAATTTTTTTCTCATGAACATACTTTCTACTGACTTAAAAGAAAAAAGATCCTTCTCCTATGTAATCAAAAAGCTGTTTTGGTGAGGGTTCTTTTTAATTTAAAGAGCTTTTCTTAAAGACTGGCTAATGCAGCAACTCACTAAGAACCCCAAAATTTTACCACCTTTGCTTAATGTGGTAACATCAGTGCCTCTCCAGATTCGTTACTGTTTAACCTGACAGTTTGGTAGCATCTACTCTGTGCTACCTATTGGAACTAACTCTAACCATCTGGATTCAGATGAACACAGGTGTTTGTTATAAAAGAAATTTAACTCACTTATCACCATTACAAAATAACTAAGGACTGGTTACAAGAATTTAGTCTACATTATTAAATTCCGAAAGTGTCTTGCCTTTGAAGCTTTGGACTGGCTCAGGCGATCCTTCTGCTCAAATATCTTGGAGTATTTCTTCAGGTCCTTCTTAATTTGCTGTTAAACAGGGAATTTTATTTCAACTAGGATATCAGACTAGCAATCACAACCATCACATTCTGCAAGAACTCCTTTGGTAGGCCAAAGCAGGCTATGCATTTTTTAATAACATATCTCTTCTACTCAATTTCCCTTCACTGTAATTTCATTTGCTCTTCCTGGCTTACAGATCATGTAAATGCTTCTGTACATATGCAACCAGTGAAGCCTGGACAGCTAAATTCAATTTTGTTATTATTTATACTCTTTCACTGTACCCTAACTGTAAGAACAATTGGTTACCATTTCTATTCCGAGCTTGAAGAACAGTTAATATTTACAGTCATTCCCAAAAGTGAGGTCCCCTACAGCAATATGTTTTTTCACAAATTCAGGGCGAAAGCCAGTTGCGTAACTCTCTAACGGTTTAAGCCTCATCCTTAAGAAGAGGGAGCAAACCAAGTATGCTTATACACCAAATCAATGTCAGCAGAGTCAGTGGAATACACTACCTTTATCTGATCCTCACTGAGCAAGGTGGTTGGTCGGGGTCTCCAGAGAAGCTGACAGAACCTGTCTTTATTGTTTTTCTGAAGTAGACGGCCTTGGAAGGTCCATAACCAATATGCATTGTCCACCTGGAAGAGCAGCGCACCATCTCAGTCAAGATAAGCTATAACTTAACACTGTAGTCCTCACTTCATGTCTTAAGGGTCTTTTTTATAAAGTCAGCACCATCAGCCAACAGAACCAGGGTGCTCTTTTTGTTAGTGCCTTCCTTGCACCAGTCAAATTCCTCAGCAAAATATTTGTTCCACTGAAGTTTTGCAAGAAGTTACCTTCTGGAGGATCACAACAGTTTGAAACTAAGCCAGCCCTTCTATCATATTCTTAAATCTCAGATTCCATACTTGTACAGGAGAATATTACAATGCAGTGGCTGGAACCATGCAACAGAAATGACAGGTCCAATAAATCCTGCTGTTCTGTGTGGACCACAAGGAGATCAAGTTTCAAACCACTAAAGACATAATGAAAATTCAGAAAAAGGACACTCAGTTTAGACTCACGAACTTCCCTTCCAGAACATATTTTGGACAACCAGTGAAACTAATGGCCCAAATAAATACTCATGTTCAGAAACTGACATATAAAACTATGGTGCAGGTTTTAAAGCACGTGATCAGTGACAGGCATCCTTTTTTTTTCCTAACCAATAGTTCCTTGCAATACCTCTGGAAGAGAGAGGAGGAAAAAAGGAAAAAAAAAAAAGCAAGCATTAGTACCTTGTGGCTCCACCAAGACACAGAAGTCACAATGTATCTGCCTGTAGGATCCCATTCCACATCTGAAGCTGTATAGTGCTCTGCAATATTCATCATGGTGCAGTCAGATGTATCAACAAATGCTAAGGCACCATTCATGCTGCAAAGACAAAACGAGCCAGATTGTTTTACACACTAGTATAGCCTGTTTTTTTTAAGAGCATTTCACAAGCTGCATCTTTACAACTCTTCACTACAAAGATAAATTTTCATAGCAGCCAAGAAACAGGCCCATACCAGTCTCTGTGGCTAGAAAGCAAGATGAGGAATAAAAACAAGAATTCCAGTAAGAATGACACTTTTATTTCTATGTTCAGTGACCATTAACCCATTTTATTTCTGTTCTTAAAGTCACATACTATAGACAAGTTACAGCTGAAGTTTAACAATCATGTATTTAAACATATTTAAGTAGTGAAGACAAGATTAAAGAAAAAAAAATAGATTTCAAAGATCAACAGCAGCACTTGTCTGAAAGCATGTAAAGGCAAACACTACTCAACTGGTTGATAAAAATAATTTTCACTTGCTCTAACACACAACTTTCTTGATAACTCTTCTACAAAACAGCTTTGTCATTAAGAGGTATTGCCCACAAGGAGGCACAAGGCTATGACAACAAATGCATTATAAAAGCCACATGCACAGTGCAAACTGGATTAGCTGAGAGTCAGTATTTAACTTAAGCAGCTGAAAAGTGTTTCTGAATGAATAATGCGTTCTTCATTTGACATGGCAAAAACAGCAAATAAAAGTTACAAGGGACTCAGCTACATCATTGTTTTCCTTTGCTTTTGCCAAGCTGTATCAGGAACACACAGTAATGCAGCATTCATGGAGATGCCAAAGATTTCTTGATGAGATATTCTAGCCTTTTTCCTCCTTAAAATGAATGTCATGTTCAGTAACCTGTGCAATACTCACCTTCTGAGGCCAGCCAACACTACAAATTGCCCTTGAGGACTCCAGAATATCGTGTTTGCCTGCTGTTTGTCAAACGTTTCTGGAAAGAAACAAGATAAAGATCTTAATCCAATGCTATCAGTTAGCTTACAAGCTGTCAACTCCATCCATTCCTCAAAAGACATTTCTGAACTCTGCAAGCAAGTCCTAGCAACAGCCCTTAGCTCTACACAGCTGAAGACAAAACCTCATAGCATCAGAACATCCAAAGCGAGCAGAAGACAGACATCGGAAGATCTCAACACCCAGCTTGGGAATAAATTTCATCTAGAGTGAGTCAAGTCCGTGCTATCGCCTCACATGAACTTCCCAAGGCCACAAAATTATTCGGCCTTGTAAGCCTTTTATTCCCAGACCCTGGACTGATTCAAAGTGAAAACAGTTTAGCTACCACCAGAAAGTTGGATTTCTAGAATACAATGTCAGACATAGCACCTATTGCCACACTATCCACCACAAAAAGCCACAATTTTGAGTTGACCGCATTTATTGCCATGCAAAATGCATAGTAACTGCACTTTTCACTTGGTTTTCAGTCACTTACTTATGAGTTCTATTTTCCCATTGTTTTTAACATGGTAAAAGGAAACTGAAATTCGTGGAGTTTCTCCATGCAACACAGCAAACTTGCTTCCATTCGGTTCCCAAGCAAAGGCTATGATGCTTTCTGTAACAAAAAAAAAAAAAAAAAAGGTCAAAACTCTGTCAAAAGACAATACAAAGTTTTGATTTCAGGCAGTTACCAAAGAAAACGAAGATGCTGAAGACAGGGAACCCATCAACAGACTTTGCCATACAGACTATCTTTTAAAACACAGGTTGATAAGGTCAATGCAGGGAGTTATGTGAAGTGTTTCAGTCAAACAATAGCTCCAAAGTGTCCCATCTTCTACAAAATACACTCAGATTATCAGCCCTTCCATCTTTATTAATAACAGACTTTTAGTTCTGTCATTTTTCAAGTCAGTCACAAGCACAAATAGCATGAAGAGTTCCGATTTCTTACTTTTACACGAGACGTCCTGCAACATGAATACTGCAGCTCCTATCAAGACAGTTAACTTCCTAATTATGTCACATGTTGACAGGAATTTCTAAGAAACACGCAAGCGTCTACTCAAAAAAGTTAAAGGACAAAAGTAAGGAAATACTTGGAATTACCTTTCATTTCCACCACATCCACTGGCACCTGTTTTTCTCTCATTCGGAATATTTCAAAGTTGGTCACTACTCCCTGTAAAGGCCAAGATCAGCTCATTAACCAACACAGAAGCAATAGAGCAAATAATTTTATCGCTAGGCATAGAAAGACAACTACACAGGTCAGGACACAGGATGAGGGACAGAGTCAAGATTTGTTTCTTTAATGAGAGCAGATAAAAAATTTTCTGTTCTGATAAAAACTAACTGAAGAATTGTACAAAAACATTTGTTTCTTTTCAGATCGTTATGAAATTTAATTCAGACAGATAAATGCATGGCACATTGTGCAGCAGGACCTATGGGTTGTTCAACAACTGCTTAACAATGAATAGGAAAAGAGGTGAGGCATATAGCTCGCACCCAAGTCCAAGATACCACTAAAGTCAAAGCAAATCCTGGACATTACATACATTTTGCTCTCCATATGCCTCAAATTCAAATGGAAAACTGAAAAATAGCTTTGACATCATATAATTTACACTGTCTATATTACAAGACAGTACTGCAAGAAAATGAGGTGTCAGCATGCTATAGAATCAAATTTTATGAACATAATCAGAATCCACATACCTGTGTGCCTTTGGGAGTCCTGTCTACCTTCACACACAGGTAATCCCCATTCTTCTGCCAGTGTAGTTTACAATCTACAACATTGAATAAATTCCGCACACGAATTTCTTGTCTAGAAGGCAGCTGCATCAAAGTCACTCTTGCTGGGATGTCTTTGTCCTCAGGCACCCAGAATGCAATAATGTTACCACCTGGAGACCACGAGAAGTCTCTACAGGAAGAAAGTTAAAAATATGCTATTTTAATTTTTATAGTTAGAGATACTACAAGCAGAAACCATTTTCACCATTGTATCTGAATTTGCAGTCAAATATCAACTCTCAATAAAAAAAGATAGATACAGACAAGCAACTGAGGACAATTTAATAACCTTACGCATATCATACCAAACCAGATTTTTAAACTGCTATTTAAAACTTGCTATATGACCGCAGTTATTGAAACAGTACATTTCACTCAGGAGTAGGGGTTACACCCAGTGTAACCACCAAAGATCTACGAAACAGGCTGATTAAACCAATGAGCAAAAAAATCCCTATTAGATGACACTGGAGACAATCTTTTTGCACCTGGGTACACTTAATTTTCTTGTTGCTTTACAGAGAGGTACCTCAAAAACTCTCACAGGAGTCAGTGTCTATTGTGCAGACAAACACAAAAGCAAACCCGTTCCTTGCCAACAGGCAGTACACAGCAGACTGTTTTAAGCCAGCATACAAAGCCTGTTAGGTAGATATTCCCTAACAAACTGCATTCCAGTTTGGTTTTGTAGAGAAGTAACAGGATTCCCAAGACAGACACAGGATTAAGCAGTACCAAAAAGGGGGATTTCAAAGCATACAAACTGTCAGCTCTGGACATCAATAAATGCAGAATTTTCCATTCCTTTTTGCCAGTTTGTCTAATTTGAGGCCATTTGCTCTAGTCAACAGTATAAACAGTCACCATAACAAAGCCTCAAAGATTCTAACTAAAGAGAGCAGTTATCTTTACAAAGGAATAGACTCACCTTATTCCATTGATTTTCAAGCTTTTTTTGTCCAACAAACCCATAGACTAAAAGAGAACGGTGTGAATTTTTAAGTTAGTAATATCCTTATACGTACACATACACCTTCTACTCTTATTATTAGAGCACATGAACTAGGAAATTGTGTAGTTTTCAGAGATCTTGTATCCCTATTTTTTATTATGAACATACATATACCACAAGTACAAATAAAATAAAAATTGCTGTATAGAATTAGTGAGTACAGCAGCCTGAATTATAACGAAAAAACAAAACAGACTAGATTAGGCTGCAATTTATAGTGTGTTTTGGGTACCCTGGCACTCACCTGCTACTGACAGCTGGGAGGCATCACAAAACCTTGATCCTATTGACCCTTATAAGTAGTATATTGAGCTGTCCAGTCCTTCTAGAAATGTGGTGTGAAATTTACTGTCAGACTCAGCTAAAGTTTTTCAGCCAGAAAAGAACAAGCCCAGAACAAATGGATTTCTTCCCTTCAAGTCCAGCTCTAGAGTGTATTATTAAAATGTATCCTTTGAAACAGATACCACAGGAAAGAAAAAAAATGTAATGCAATAAGCGTTATGAAAAAAAACCACAAACCAAGAACTTACAGGTGTTTCATAGATGCTGAGGGTATCTGAAGTCATTCGAGCAAAGAATTTACCATCATGACTCCATCTAAGCAAATGAAAAGAAAGGATATTACATAGGAACTTCCTTTTTATTAAACGAAGCCTAGGACTACTTTTCTCTACTCTAATTCTGTTTCTCAACCTACTTAAAAATAGGCCAGTGAGCTGAGTTTTCACAGTGGAATCCTCGCTTCTTTTGCCCGGTCAGAATATCCCAGATGATAATAGCCTGAGGGTCATCCTGTGTGTCCATCAAAGGGCTGAAGGTCACTAAATACCTACAAAAGAAATAACCAATTTCACTATCAAAACTTCATCTAATATGTCAGTACATGCAGGCTTTCACCCAGATAATTTTTAAATACAATGCACTTTCAAACAGCAGCTTCTCTAATGGGTTTTTTTGGAGAGGAGGGAAAAATCAGAGGAAAGGCAGAGAGCTCCCAAGATACAGTACTTCCCTGGTGTCCCTTTGGCTGAAAAGACTCTAGATTTATGTGCAAGCCTTCCCATACTGAAGTTACAAGACAGGGGAACTCGCCAAACATGCTGTTACCTACTATATAGTTTTGCCACAAGATCATCATTGGTTTCGAACCAAATATAAATCCATTGACCTTAGCCAACCTGAACTATAGGTATGATAGACTTCTCCATTTAAAGACAAATCATCTCTCTAACACAATAAAACATAAAACCTAATTGCTTTCAAATATGTCACTTGAAAACAAGCAAAACAAGATGCATCTCAGTCCTAAAATTATTTTAGTCTTCTCTAAAGAGCTCTTTACCATTAAAGAAAGCTTAAGGAATTAATTTCAGTACTACAGATTTGGCAGATGCTACTCAACTGCAACTTTTCAGAGAACTAGAAATCTTAAACCACAGACATCCCACTTAACTAAAGAGGAAAAAATACAGTCTTCTCCCTTGGGATAACAGTATCTTGAAGGAAACTTGTCAGCTCAGTTTTGTAGACCAATTATTCCAGATTACGTTAAGTATCTTTCCTGAAGTTAAAGAAGTCAGGCAGAGTTTCACTCGTTCTAAGGATTTATGCACGAAAAACAGCACTTCCAAAGGCAAAACAGAACGGAAGACCACAACCACGTGAGATTTGAAAGCAGAGCAGCCAGAACGTGTGTGCTTCATGCTTATGATCCCTTAGCCCAAACCAATGTCATACTCCGTACCTTTCACAGGGCGAGAAGTCAATAAGCTGCACTCCCTGGTGACTAAACCTTTGAATCTGCTTGAACTTCTCTCCACCCCAAAGTGCGATGCCTCTCTGGTGGAATGTAGCCAAGTAGGTGCCCTTTGGGGACCAACGTACATAGGTTTCTGTCCACCGCTGGGTTTAGGGGAAAAAAAAAGTATACACAAAAGTTTAATTTCATGCTGCATTCCTCAAGGGGAAAGAATGAATGTGTAGCTTGTAGCATCACATTTCGCAAATCCATTTACTAAGCGAAGATCTCAAAATTAGTGATATCTTAGACTAGTTGTGGAGTTTAATTTCATGCATATAATGCACCATACTTATTCTTCAGGTTGAAAACTGTCAATTGAGACTTTTTCAACTTACTGATCACCAAAAAAATTTTCCAGGTACAGCGACAACCTTTGTATAGTAACATTTAAACCCACCTAACAGGCTTGGGTTTCCTCGGTGTCTTTCAGCCCTAGCAAGAACATATTCTTCCCAGAAGTAAGGGCAAGTATTTCAAATTTCTTAACAATAATACAGCTCCTGGCCTTCAGCTAAGTTAGAGAGGTTTCAGCAATATAGACCACAGCCAGTGACCATGGTGATGAGCAAAAGTACTCATCATCCCAGAGTCAACTTCTTTCTACTGTAATGCGTAATGGTTATTAAAGAAAATGCTTCCGCATACCAACAGTTCTCAACAAGTTAACTGCCTGCAGCAGACAGGCACACTAACTCTCCCTTTTATATGCTATTACCAAACCAGCTATTCCTCCTTAGCAACTCTGCAGTCAGCAAAAAAGCAAAAAGCGATCAGAAGCAGCATACTTAAGCCCATACTCAGCTCTAATGAATAGTACTCCTCAAACTCTGACTGTGCATTTTCAGGTCTTTCTGAATCACCTATAAATAAACAGGTGAAGGAAACTAATAGGCATCATGGACCAGTTAAAAAAAAACCACACACGCAAAGAAGTTAACTTCACATTTGTTTTATGCTAAGTCTAATTCTTAAGGATGTAGTTTTACCACTCCTCTTCAAAAAGAAGAAAAAAGTATTTCAGCAATGGGGAAAAAAAATATAATCTTTTTTTAAAAAAAAAATAAAAACCTAAGATGTCATAAAATGAATGAGACTGACAGTGTATCTGTAATGTACAGCACTTCCAGGACACTCACTGCTCTGTCCTCAATTTGAACAGGTTCCTTGATATCATTCCAAAAAATGGAGGTCCGGTCTCCCGACTCAAAGATCACACTGTACTGATCCCTACAATCAGGATCTTCCAACCAGTATCGGAGATTCCCCTAAGAAAAACAGAAGCAAAAAAGATTATTAGTGAGTCAAAGGCTACGACAACAAATTCCCTAAATTAATATCTACCTGGCCAGTAGAAGTTAGTCTTACATAATGGGCAACTTTGGAGTTTTACCACTGCAAACAAGTTTTTAAAGTAAAAATAAATAATTCAAACTACTTGTTACTGGAGGCTAAGCGAACAGATCAAAAAAAGGCAGACCTCCAAGGTAGTTTGATGATGTTTAACACTTCTTGTCTGAAGTAACTTGAAGGTTTTTTTGGTGTTTTTTTAAAAACTATCCCTTCCTCCATAGGACTTTTTAGAAAGTTAGTGGTAACAAACACAGAACTTTGCCTCAAATATCTAAAGTTTTACTCTTAAGTTTTACCCTATGTGGAACTACTAAGCAGAACCACTAAGTTCTTCCTGTCACTTCACAACAGTGAGAACAAAGGAATAGGAGCATGCGATCACTACTGCTACTTATAACAACTCCATTAACGCTTTGTTTCTATTTTCATATGGACACTCTAGCAACAAAGTAATCATTTCATATTATGCTGAATAGTCTTTCCACTTTTAAAAAAAATCCTTACCAAATCCTTAAATGGTTGTTTCTCAGGGATTTCCCATTCATCACTGATTGTCATGTACCTGAAAGAGCAATTTGACTGGTTACACTCCGTGCAGGCACTCTTGATTAGAATCTCAAAATCTACAGAAACACGCAATAGCTGCACTCACTTGTCAAAGTCTGTGAAAAGGTTGACTCTGAAAGTGTGCTGTTTATCCAGTTTGTATCCATCTGCATTCTTCACAGCATCCACTGCATGAGATGGAGACATGTACTCCAGAAAGATGTACCTAAACGAAAGAAGATCGAAGTAGAAAGTCATCGTTGACTACATAACAGGCTCATAATAAAGAAGAAATTAAATAAATAAAATAAAAAAGAAACCACGGTGATGAACTAAGAACTTAGTACAGAGCATCTACAAAACAACTTCTTGTCTTGTACCTAATCAGTTAGGGTCAAAAGCAATTGATCTCTGTTTTGGCCACAGGCACACATACACGTTTTAGCTGTATGGACTTGACCCGAATTTAACTGATATCCTTTCTGTAAATGGGCTAGACTAAGTGATGAATGCAAGTTCAACGCAACACAGAACAACAATGAGAGCTAGTAACATGCAAGTTAAGCATGCAGCTCTTTCCAGCTGAATGACAGATCATGTTTAGTAATTGTAAATCTTGCTGTCATAGGCATCTCAAAGCACCACTCTTGTTTTTCAATTACATTAAATATAATTCAGCTTCCTTCTTGCCACTAATACAATCTAGCTTGTAGCCCAGCCGACTTAAAATTGACAACATCCTGAAGACTGTCAGACACTGCCTCAAAGAGACAGAAAGTAATTTTCTCATGCTTCTCACACTGGCCTTACAGAATCAACCATCCCTCCACTCCAGAAAACCCACTTTTTAAATGCTTTCTAAACTATGGATTCCTCCCAAACCCAGGAATATATACTACTCCAACCACAGTAACAAGGCTCAGTAAAACCTTGTATTTATCAGATAATTTTTGCCTGGTTTCTCTCCCTTAAACTTTCTTTCCCTTGCCCTCTCCCTTTGGGTTTGATCATTCCTGGTTGGCTTTCTTCTCAATTTCAGATGCTGCAATTAACCAGGAACAGGAATTAGAAGTTGGCAAAGGGGAAAAGGGTCCTGGGAAGGGCTTGCTGAACTTAAGGAAGTTGGGAGTCACTAATGTAAGCATAAGCACTGGCAACCAGAGACAGAATATTGACAGTCCATTTTGCAATAAACAGTACATCCACTGCTACTAAGTTCTTAACTAAAATGGACCTTTAACCTATTTATTAGCTATGGCAGAAAGTTAACAAAACAACCTCATTTAGTACTGCACAGAAATTTGTCTTCCAAACCCAGCTAAACTGTTTCTATAATGAATCCCCCCCAACACACTGTAGCTTAATGAGCTATTAAGCTTCTCAGCTCCCTTGGGAACTTCTGTTTGTCACTGAGACTAGATGTCAGGATCGTACACACTAAGGTAGAAGAAAGTGATAACTATGAGGCCACCATAAGAATTGGCCACGAAGTATTGACCCTAATAATCAAGGGTAAGTCAGAGCAGTGTTTCAATCCTGTTTCCAGTAGGAGTTATCATGACTTACCCTTTTGTCTTCCCATCTGCTTCTGGATAAAACTCATTGATAATTTTACCAAACTTGGAAAATATTTTGTGGATGACATTCTTCAGTTTCTCAAGTCGGTCTGGTCCAACCTGGGGAACATTATCCACAACAATTACAGAGTCAATTCCATCTGCTTCCTGCGGCTGATCTTTCAGTACATCACCAAGTAATTCTGCAAAGAAAAAACATACAAGAAACCAAGGCATCAGTCTACATCGTTAAGGAGGAAGACAAAAAGTTGAAAAGAACAGTGATAGTAAGCGAATGAGAAGACTTCAAATTTCAGGAAATTTCAAGAATCATTTAAGAAACTTGGTAGTGAATGAATGTTCTTATCAGAGAAAGAACTGAAGAGAATACATAACACTCCAACGGTAGTTCCTTGCTAAAAGGCATGATTACGCAGTTTCTCAACAAACTTCAAGCAGTTAACTCTTGAAGTCTTTCTTAAAGAAATACTTTACGTTAAGGACATCAACATTTGCACTATTAGTTTGTTTCATGAGTTGGAACTGGCTCACAAAGCCCTCAAAATTGACGATAGAGCAAACAACTCTGCTAGATTTACTACCCAGGCTCTGACTAGTAGCCTTGCTCAAATTATAACCGGATGACTTTGATAAAAGGAAACACAGCATGTGTCCCTCCCAAACATGAGGTTTAGCATAATTCAAAACTATCTGCCATACTGGAAGCTCTGCATGTCTTAGCATCACTGTAATTATGTTTAAGAACTCACACTCCATCTAAATCTTTAATTAAACACAAAAATGAACATCTAAGACAAGACACTTAAAGTCATATTTAAGCATGCAGCAAGTGAAGACAAGCACACACACCTTTTTGTACCCTGGCTATTCTTCAACTGTACTAATTTCCATTTTCTATCTCATCTTACAAATTTTAAGAGTACTTGCTGCTAGGATGCTCTGTTCAGTCCCTGCACTCTCAGCTTCAAGCTTCTTTCTGCTGGGATGAGATTGCTTACAACATCGTTGAAGTTTCCCATACGCAGAAGGGGGAACATTCACAAGGACTGTAACCCTGCAGCTGGGGCCTGCCTAACCCCCGGGATGAAAACAGTTAAAAGGTACAAAGTACACCTGTAAGCTTCACCTTAGAAGCTTCAACAATAACGCTGCCTTATTTTTATGTGGTAGGCTTCTAGACACATTCCGTAGAGTTCTAGACATATCTAACTTTAATCTATTCCTCAAGTCAATTCTATTAGATTATTCTGTATCTACCAACTAAACCCCATTAGTACAAATTTAAACACACTTCTCAAATTAACATTACCTAACTGCACAAATGCACTGACCTGTTGATCCAAGAAGAGTCAGAAAAATTACATCAATGATTCAATCCTCAATGGACTGAACTAGAAGCACTAAAGACAAGGATATCCAAACAATCTCTCAAATAACTTTAACCTATAAATAAAATACCACACTATCCCTAGCTATCCTGTTCAAACCTACACTTTAATTCTTGCCTAGATCACTGATTGTTTCACAGTGTAATTGGTCATGCCCTTGCAACTTATTAACATGACTGCATTATTGTATTTGAAAGAAACACCAGTTAGAAGCAGTAGATTATTTCTGTCTTATTGACATTTTTAGTTTTGTGTACTTCAAAGGACCAGAGTATGCATTCTGCTAACAAAAAAAGCCAAATGTGCTGAAATGAAAATGAATGGCAAAGTTTCACACATGACATATAAACAGGAAAAATACACAGGCATATCTGCAGTAAGTTATAAGCTTATGTGAAGACCACTATAAAATGCAAGACTAGACAGAAAGTAAGTGTGTGCCACTATACTTTTGACTTAGAATATAAAGATAAAATTTGGAGAGTCAGACTATATATAGCATTCACAGATGAGGAAAAAAACCATCCAAACACATGCAGAAACATTTAAAATATGAAAACAAATGAAAAAAGGGTGTTAGATGTGTTGCTATTTCGAAGACGTGTTTACAGAATTTTGCTGGTTTTGGAATTCTAGAAATTATCCTGCTCAGAAACATCATTGGAAAGATCTCAAGCAGTGAAGAAAAATGCTTTGAATTTCAAGCTACCAAAAAACCTTGGCCTTCTATACCTTTAAGCTTCAACAGGTTATTACATGTGAAGCTTTCCATTGATTTGGGGCAATATGCTTCAAACAAAAGTTTATGCATAAACACAATGCTATTACCACCAAGGTTACGTAGTACTCACATAACATTGTTCTTTGTAGTATTTATTACTCAAAAAGATGCTCTCTGTGTGCATGTAGGAACTACAAATAAAACGTTAAAAGATGCTAACTTGTACAATAAAAACAAAGACCCAAGAATTGTGAAAACCTACTATTAACGGTAGCAACTAAAGAAAGCTGAAGAGGTTAAAGGAATAATCCTCCATGTTACATCATTTTACTTACTCTGCACACTTTAGATTATACCCACAAACATCTCCCATTTATAGCTACTATTTACTAGTTTGTAGCAACTATTAAAAAATGGCTAAAACCACATCTACGCTTCAGAGTAAGTCAAATATTCAGTGAGGAGTGTACAACGCAAGGATCACTGAAGAGCAGGAGGACTTGCTAGAAGTGAATGTTTAAGAAATAAGTTAGAAGAGAACCCTTAGTGGGGAGCATCAGACTGAAAACTGGGAAAAGAAAAAGTCAAGCACATGAAAAGTTCATAAAAAAACCCAGAGTTAACAACAGATATTCTGACAGCATAAAACGATACAGATCACTGAGGATAAGCAAAAAACTTGGCAGGAAGATAGAGGCATCAGTCCCAATAAGCAAAATCACAGATGATGACAACTTTAAGGGCACTATTTGGAACAAATAGGTAGGCAAAGAAATAGAAAAAAATAGAACATACAGTGAAATCCTGACTTCTTTCAAAAGTACAGCAGTGGATATCGGGCAGTATTTTCTACCACACAGACTAAAAGTGGTTTAAGTTACTACCAAAGGTATTGTGGACCACCTTCCCCTCCTTCTTTAACTTTTCGCTGCAAAGTTGAAAGCTGACTCAAACTATTACAGATCCAGAAGAGAACACCACATATGAGGGCTGCAAGTTAACTTCCTAGTCTATACTGGATCTCAAGACATTTTTTCAAGAGTAAGCCGTTCTCCAGGTAGCTGACAATCCACTAAAGTTGTGCCTAGGATTTAGGACACACACACTGAAGTGTGTGCTATGCCTACAAAAATTGTAAGGATTGAAAGGAGGAATTAAAAAATCCGATATTGCAGTAAAATAACATGTAGAGTTCTTCTTTACCTTACAATCCCATATCTTAGATTTTCCCTGCATATAAAATGAAAGTATGTCCCAAAAAAGACATTACCACAGAAGTCTACAAGAAAAAAAACAAAACAAAACCAAAACGACACAAAAGGGTAATTTTTAGGCTCTATTAGTCATTTTTTCATAACCACTTCTCACAGAAGACTTTGTAGGCCTAGAGACAAAGGAATGCATATTTAGATTCAAGTGCAAGAATGCAATACCCTGTATTGAATCAAAACTGTAACAGATTAAAGACAAATACCTGCATTGTACCCTTCCTCTACCTTATATTCCAAATTGTGAACAAAGGAATCTTCAAAGGGTAAGAAGCTGGTTCCGCCAGCTCTTATTCCACCCACAAGAAAAGCAGGGCGTGGTGGGTACACAGCTATCTTCAGCTGGCAGTATTTTAAGGACCACTATCACTATCTGAACTAAAGCTTCATTGCACCTAAGTGGTTATATGACACATCCCTTCTCTTGCTTGAACTTGGATCAGCTGTTCTGTCATGCCACCACCATCCTGGGGAAAAAAAAAAAAGTTGACATAATGAATCTATGATGGTCCAATCCTAAAGCTGGTCCAGCCCAAAGGTGTCCCTGAAGATGTAGCGTTATTATAAGCATTGAAATAGCCTTGGCTCAGTGACACTGATGGATCGCCTTTCTCCTTGGGCAGTCATCAGGATAAGGGGAAAGGAATAAGGAAGCTCAAGAAGTAACACAGACAGAAAGCCAATCCAGCAAGAGTGACTAAACTTAAACACTGTAATTCAGCCACTAGCACTGTATTATTCATACAGCTGAGAAATTAACCGAATTTATACCTAACAATAAAATAGGTGAGGATGGAAAATAAGTCTAGTTTCTGAAGGAAGACAGAATTGAACATAATAATCCTAGATGTAGACAAACTGTAACAAGCAAACACTTAACTAGACAAAAAGAATCCAACTGCGTACTTACAGACAATTTTGCAAAGTCTTTTTAAGAAACAAACGCACAAGTTCAAAGAGCTATACAGACTACTAAATTGAGAATAGCAATCATTTTCTTAATCTAAATATTTTGCTGTCATTCTATTAAGCTAAACACAGGACTTAAAACACTAGAAGGCACATATATCACCTGTATTCCACGGCCAATTGAAATAACCAACTGACTTACAATCACATGTTTCAGGAAACATTTTTCCTGTTTTGATACATGTAATAAGACCCTACAACATGTAGGATACATGTACACAAGACCCTACAACAGCACATATGGTAGAACAAGCATTGGCAAAATAAGTACTTTTGCTATTCAAGAAGTGCGATGATTTTATCTAGAAAGATCTGTCTGAAAAATATTAATAGAGTTCTAACTCCTGTATGCCAAAATTAGATATTCCCTTGATTATGCAGTTCCACAATGGCTTAGCCATTTTAAGACAGTCAATATTGAATACTTTTTAGAAGAGCCTCAGTTTGAATTTCCAACTTCCAGAAATAATTTTTCCATATTTTCTTGTCACAAAGTACCTATGCCACATCTTCATAAGCAGGAACTCTTCTCAAAGCCATACTATTTACCTATGGATTTCACTCTGGCATGCATGGAAAAAACAGAACGATGCAATCTAGTTTGTAAACATTAGGTCTACAATTTAAAACTCCTGTTTTTACAGTTGAGTTTAACTAATAGAAGCAAACGGAAAGCATGCAAGTTGATGATTCCACCTTGTGAGGGTAGCCCACAAATCGATACTGGAAATTTAACAGCACATTTAAGAACAATAGTATTGTACAGTGCGCAGGCAAACCACTGCTAGGACGAAGACGCGTACGTAGTATTACGAGCAGT